AACTTCCAGTGACCAGTATGAGAGAGTGAGAGCGATAACACCAAATCTAACACCTGCTCCCCATTCTCACCTGAGACCTTGTAACACTGAGTCACATGACACCGGGGAGAGAAAATGGCTAATTGGGCCCAATTTGGACATTTTCACTTAGGGGTGTACTCACTTTTGTGGCCAGCGGTTTAGACATTAATGGCTGTGTGTTGTTATTTTGAGGGGACAGTACATTTACACTGTTATACAAGCTGTACATTCACTGCTTTACCTTGTAGCAAAGGGTCATTTCTTCAGTGTTGTCACATGAAAAGATATAATAAAATATTTACAAAAATGTGAGGGGTGTACTCACTTCTGTGTGATACTGTATATGTTTGTTGTTAATTAGAGAATTTGTCATTTTCCTTTTTTCCTGCTTTCTTTTTCTATCTATCTCAGGGCAATGATGTATTCTGGTGAACTGAGGTTTGAAAAGAGGACAATGTCAGCTCAGATGGAGGGTGGAGTACACAGTCTACACAGGTAGTTGAACATTTGTACACTTAGTCTGAAGATATTGTACACTACTGATCAACAGTTTGGGGTCAGTAAGAATAAAAAAATTGAAGACTGGAGTAATGGCTGCTGGAAATTCAGCTTTGCCGTCACAGGAATAAATTACATTTTAAATAAATTAACGTAGAAAATATTTATTTTAAATTGTAATAATATTCATCTTTGCTCAAATAAATGTCATTGTGAGTGTAAGAGACTTCTTTCAAAAAGAAAATTTAAAATCTTTCTGAAACCACACTTTTGAATTGAGTAATGTACAATTTTTAACTTAAAAAAAAAAAAAAAAAAAATTAACTGACCTTTGTTCTTTCAGCTATGAGAAACGCCTGTTTTAAAGAAGACACTACAGATGCCAGTACATGCATAGCCAAACGCACATAAACCCCCATTAATGGACTTCCACACGTGCTTTTGCACAAACACACTGAGAACCTCAGCTTCCTCTTTCTCGTCTTCCCAGCCGCCTTTCCTCTTAGCGAGGAGAGAAATCGTGTGTGAATGTCTGTAAGAATATGCCAGTTTGCGTGAATGTTTGCGTTTGTGGGGAACGCATGCTGTCTGTATCAGATGCCTTACATGTCAAAAAAAATGGTTTTTGATTGTAATCATTTGACAACTTTTGTGTGGAAAATATTATTTTTTTTTGCCAGATATTTGTCTTGTCTTGATTAATAAAATACAAACATACCTGCATATGCATCATTATAAGCAATACACAGTCAACATTCTCTGTCTAGAGAAGCAAACCGGATGATTGAGTGCAGTGCATCTGTGTGAAACAGGAAGTGTTGTATTTTAATGGGATTTCTGTCAAGTTTGTTATAAAAAGAGAACTGACCGTTCAAGTTAGGCGCATGCGAGTACCTTCATAAAAATGTGCCTGTCATGTAAATTACATTTTTCACTTGCATGTGTTTTTCATCATAAATTGGTTTTCAAATCCTGAATCTGTGGGTGTGTGGGTAGATGGCTGCTCAACAGTGACATTGGTACGTTATTCCTCATTTTGCGAGTGTGTCTCAAGGGAACCAGCCTTCACCTCCAAAACTACCGGACTTTCCAAACAAGCGTTCACACATGCTCACTAATGGATCCGCACCTGGACAGGTTGGGCTGAGAGCTCCAGGTGGCTCCTCATAAATGAAATATGATATTGGCCCGTTAGTGAGCTCAGCCCAGCTGGGCCCAAATCTCTCAACGCTTTTATACACGGCAAAAATGAAATGACTGACAGATCTATATTACTGTGCAGCAATATTGAAAACTAGAACTTTTTTGATAAAAATATTTGAAGAATATGCATATATTTCAAAGATAAAAATATTTGAAGAATATGCATATATTTCATAATTTGAAATATATTAATAAGGATAAATAACATATTACATCTACAATCAAATGAGTGAATCAACCATAGTAATTGAAGCACTTTTTTGATGTAACAGAAAGAAATATAAATTAAAAGAAAGATGGGAATTATCAGAAGAGAAAAGAGAAGGGAAAGACATTGAGATGTTTGGAGGGGGGAGGTTGTGGGCAGTCTAGTGAAGAAGTGAAAGTGAAAATGTTCCTCAGATTTCTGAGGAGGAAGTCACTAGGCATAAATACGCCAACACTCTGACAAACTCGCACAAGCCAGGGAGCAGAGAGAGCGCAAGAAAGAGGATGAATGACAGGAGCAGGTAACATAGAATTATTCATCTCCACTCATTCACACCTGTCTGTTTTTATCTGTCACGTACAATGTGTCTCCCCTCTTGTCGTTTTCTTTCATTTATCTTCACCTATAGCTCCACTTGATTCTTTCATTTGTTAACTTGCCTTCTCTTTCGCAAGTAGATCGCACTGAAATGAAAAAATAATTATGGAAATGTACATTGATACAAACAGTCTCTCATTCATTTGTCTCATTCTGCTCATCTTTTCCTCGTTCATTTCACTGTGTTTGGCAAATATGCTTTCGCAAGTAGATCGCACTGAAATGAAAAAATAATTATGGAAATGTACATTGATACAAACAGTCTCATTCATTTGTCTCATTCTGCTCATCTTTTCCTCGTTCATTTCACTGTGTTTGGCAAATATGAGAAGAAAAAAAAAAGAAGGACAGACAGTGAAAGATCAACTAGTCTTCACTAAAGTATTTACAAAGTGCCATCAAGGCTGTTGTTTCTAAAATGAAACTTCATATTTTAGGCTAGTTCCTCCATTTTACTTCATGTGACTTTCTTTAGTCAATTTTATATCCTGTTTAATCACTTGTCATTTTGTCTTCATTTACCTTGCATAACCCTCCCTCCCTCTCTCTCTGCCCACTCTTCTCTGATAGGGAACAGGTTTTTCAAGACACAAGTCTACAGATGAAACAAGATAAATAAACAAGTTTCATTCTTTTGCAGAGGCGCCAAACTTGTTTGTGTTAAAAGCTGTTTGAATGTTATTTCTTTTTCCTAATTTGATAAAAAGTACACTTGATAAATATAATTAGCTTGAAATTTCCATACGAAAAAAAATATTGGTGGATTTGTTTGTTTACAGAGTGTCTGTGAAAATGGCCACAGCAGTTTGGAAGGTAACGGAACCCATAATGCAGCTGTTTTCTTGATTGACAGCTGGCTATGGATTCCGTGCCCTTCCTCTCTTGCAGGAACTTGAAGATGAAAAAAGTGTTGGGGGAATTCGGGAGTTGGCCTCATTCAGATATGATATTGTATGTGACTTTTACTTCTGTATTACTTGAAATGTATTTGAATATATCTACAATGTTATAGTTGAGTCAGAAATGTGTATGTGTGTATACGAGTTCTGATGTTGCTCTGGAATGACACGTTTTCTCCCGGATCGCCAGAAATATGTTTCGCCACCGGGAACTTCGTGTCAGCCAAGATTGGCATCACTTCCTGACAATCACAAATCTTCAGAATCTTCAGTATTCATTAATCAGTAAATCACATAATCTCTTACTAAAATGCTTCATCAGACATTCGAATGTTGTCTCTGGAATTCTTCAATAAATTAAGAACATTTGTCATGCATCACTAGTCGACTTTTCTTTTTTTTTTTTTTACTTTAGGGCCTTTATCATCAAAACTCCTAAAGATTTTTTAGATCTACATGGAGAGGAATGATAGAGGTTTGTGTTTTCAATAGTTGAGTGAGCTGAAGCAGGTTTTGGATGATTTGGTTTGTAGATTTTACACTGGCTAGAGGATATAAAGTGAAATCTTTGAGCTAATGTTGCTGTTTTAGTTGTTTTGGGAAGAGATCTAGATCTTACTGTCAACCATAACATGTGACATGTAATCTGGCCCAAGTTCAGCTCTTACAGTCAATTGTTACCTGCACCAAACAAAGCGGAAGTACTCAAATAAGCAACTGAACAACCAGCATTCAAATATGCCTCAGTATGACCAGATCTCATTTTGATATGCTTTTCTAAAGATAAATATATAAAACCATTTGCAGATGGTGTCTTATTACTGTTCCATACGGAAATATTTTAGTATTATCATAAGTCAAACATTAAAAATATGTGGATGCTTTTTAAACTTGTTTATGCTGGAAACAATATTCCTGAGGCAGCCTACTTAAACATTAAATAGAATAAAAGGCTGGCTTATATTTATTTATTTTATATCTATAAAAAAATAGCTCAAAAAACTAAAGTATTCTGTTATCATTTACTCACCCTCGTTTTCTTTTCTTTTTAGAAAAGCAGAAATTAATAGCAGAATGTGCATGCTGCTGTTTTACATAAAATGAATGAAAATGTGTGACATAGGCCTAGCTGTCAAGTAAGATTTATAGTGAATACTTTAACGACGATAAAAACTCTTTTCCTCACCCAAACCTATCAAATGACTTTGTAATATAGCACAATAAATAGTCACGTAGGTTTAGAACCAGAAAATGAAAATATGATGACATAACTTGCATTTTTGTGTGAACTACACATGAATATGTAAAATATCAGTGATAAGAAGAAAAGTAATCCATAGAATATCAAAATAATTGTCTATATTATTTAAAATAAAACGGCAGCTTCTGAACAAAACGTATTTTATCAAAAGAGCACTTTTACTTTCTGTTCTGTAATTGACAGGCCTGATTTTGCCACACTCAAAATGGCGCCTTTCAAAAGGTCGCAACCGGGAACTAGTGTTACAAGATAATATGCCCCCCTCTAACTAACCAGTGACATTCCTTAACGTTCCGGTCCCCATACATCTGTTTTGATTGGTGATCAATCGGAGCACAGCACCGCAGTGCTGTTACAGTCAGTCTCAGAGTCCAGGCACTAATAACAATGTCAACATATTGAGCTTAATCATGGAGCAAGCCGTGCCTTTCAGCATCGTGTCCACCGTCAAAGCGTTGAGCGGAGCGTTGCGGAGAGACGCTGAAAATGAAGCCGAGATCAGCCGCGAGCGAGAGAAGCTCTGGTTCAAGGAGAGCAGCGCCAAAAACCTGAGAAATCGTGACTTCTTGTCACCCAACACGGTTCTGACGACGTTGTACGCCGGTGGAGAGGTCAGTCTGAAATATGTACGTACATGTGCGGTTTTTATTTTCTGTGTTATGAGCTCTTCCTGGCCTGCATTACTGACAGATGCGCTCTCGCGCTTCTCCACATGGGGATATTACGCATGGCTTGTTGGATATTTCAAGCATTTGCTTGGACGTGTGGTTATGCTTCGCGAAGTCACTGACACGGAATTGTCAGAATATAAGCCCGAGCTCTGCACAGACACTGTGTCCACCGTCAAAGCGTTGAGCGGAGCGTTGCGGAGAGACGCTGAAAATGAAGCCGAGATCAGCCGCGAGCGAGAGAAGCTCTGGTTCAAGGAGAGCAGCGCCAAAAACCTGAGAAATCGTGACTTCTTGTCACCCAACACGGTTCTGACGACGTTGTACGCCGGTGGAGAGGTCAGTCTGAAATATGTACGTACATGTGCGGTTTTTATTTTCTGTGTTATGAGCTCTTCCTGGCCTGCATTACTGACAGATGCGCTCTCGCGCTTCTCCACATGGGGATATTACGCATGGCTTGTTGGATATTTCAAGCATTTGCTTGGACGTGTGGTTATGCTTCGCGAAGTCACTGACCCGGAATTGTCAGAATATAAGCCCGAGCTCTGCACAGACACGCAGGGCGCCAGCTAGACTGCTGACATTGGTCGCATCGACCAAACATTTGATGAACCCTGCGGTAGAAGTTACGTTATTTAACTCCTCACTTGCCGTTAGATCTAGGTCAGAATATGCCAATATTAAAAACAACATGTAAGTCAGGCTATTAGGAGAACCGCAATGCCATAATCACGTCCTGATTTATTAACGTTACTGATTTATTACAGAGAAACCTCGTTTAGTTTGTGCTGTGTTAATTATTTATTGACTCAGGCGGTCAAAATGTATTTTGAAGGGAAATCTAAGTTAACTGAAATGTCTTTTCGCGTCCCTGAAAAACAAGTGTTAATGACATTTTAAACAAAACGTTTATGATAGTACGCATTAACAAACATACCTTTTTATGTTTTGTCGATGTCCAGTAGTCAACGAAAACAGCCCGAGCGGCGAACTGTTGCTATGGTTACCACACAAGTTCGCGTGCATCTATTTAGCGCCCTCTATTTTCTAATCTTTTGTGGTTACTGAATTGTTGCTTGAAAACTTTGTTGCAACATATACACTTATAAATTGTGAAATATGTGATTGTAAAAATTAGTTAAAAAATGTATGTGTAAAAATTAAAACACAATTTTGACACTCTTTGTGGGAGTTCAATATTTTTTGATGCAGCCTTCTGTTGGTAGGTCTGAACGACATGTATGTCCATAGAATTTAAAAAGCATTTCAGTAAAATTTCGTTGGCAAAAAAGCAAAACTCACACAGAAGTACTTTCAAATGAATCAGCTTTCTGTTGGTCAATGCAGCAGATTCGTATGACCAACCTGAACATGAGTGAAATCTGCATGGGGATGCAAGTTTTTCACCCTCATGCGAAACACCAGATCTTGAGGGTTTCTTTTTAAATGACTGGATATTGCCTGTAAAATTTCACCAAACAACGGCGAATGTGACCTCACCTCAAGTTCTCATAGTTGGCTTAAAAACGTAAATTGCAATTGTCTTTTCTCCCCTATTCTGGTGAAACAGCTTCTCAAACTAGGAGAATTGTAGGGCGGGGATTGACATTTTGTCAATCGAGAATTGATTGGATCGCTGGATCATTGTCATTTGCTAATTGCTGTGATCTCATGTGAGTGACAGGTTGCTGAAAGGGAGGGATTATTGTCCTGCCTTTATGCATCAGAGAAGAGATGTCATTGTGAGGGGGAGGGGACAATGTTTTTGATTAGAGATATTATTTGACAAAAAAAATAGTAATGTGCAAAGATAAATCAATCTAAATGCAATATTTTAATTTGACAAAAATAAGAATTGTCGATTTTGATTTCGTTGTGACTTGAAAATGTAATCTTCACATTCATGTTGGTTTTGTGCATTGTTTCAAATCACTTTATACCATTTTCACCAAAAGTTTGGATTTAATGAGAAAGTGTCCTTGGGCAACTACACTAAATATATAAATTGTTACACTAAATACACGTGTGTAATTTTCAAGGTTGTGTGTGTGTTTTCAGGTTCCCTCTGATGTTCTCAGTGGTGTTCGCTCTCTTCATGGCAGTGGTGTATTGCCGATAGGAGCCACTGAAGTGACAGCAGAGGGCCTGCGCGTGTGTGTGGATCGCTGTGCAGCATTTAAAGGTGTTTTATGTGGAATAACGCCATATCTGAGACCTGCTGCTCAGAGACAGGGCTGTATCCTCATCAACTGTCCTGCCCTCCACACCAAACAAACCATACCATCTCCGGATACACTTGCTCTGGGGCAGTTACGGACCGTTCTCATTGCTGACCACCTCGGGGCACATCTCAGAAGACAAGGGTGTGTGCTTTGACTTTTATGATATTGGCATAAATTTTGTCTCCAAAAGGACAGATTAATCAACTCTTTCTTTATTCCGTTTAGGTACACCGTGTCCTTTTGTCCAGCCTTGCCACAGGACAGTGACATTGTCAACTTTCTGAAAACACTAGGCATTGATTGGCCGACAGTGCCTGTCAGCTGGACCAATGAGGACAGGGAGGAGAAGATGAAAAATGCTTTAGAGAACTCAACCTATAGAGACAGAGAGATAGAGAGGGGGAAAAGGAGAAGCAGAGGAGAGGAAATAGAGGGAGAGAAAAGAGGGATAAAAGAGGAAGTTAGGATAAACCTTAAACAAGTGGTACAGGACGGGAACGTTCAGGGATATGATCCCAGTCTTGGCTCTTGCACAGGTGCGCTGTAGTGTGTTTATTAGGGATCTAATGGGTTACATTTCTCATGGTTTGGTTTATATACAACATTTGTGTCTGTTTGGTCAGTAAATGTCATTATTAGGGTTGCATGAGTAGAATGTTTGATGTTGAGATTTTAATTGCATTTTATTTGATAAATATTTTAACCCTGTCATCAGCCAGTACAGCTCCAGTTGCTGATGTTTATTTTTGTAAACAAGACATTTGTTATTTATTCTTTTTTTTTTCTTTTACGCCATAATGCTCCACATTATGATGCATTAAAATGCACCACACTGTAAATTTAACTAGGAATGCACAATATATTGGTATGATATAGGTTATTGTCTATTTATTTTATTATTATTATTTTATCACTGTAAGTCGACATTGGAATTTTAATTGTGCTTTATTATTTCATCCATTATTTGCCTTTAGTCTTTTGCCATGATCTAATATTCACTTAAAATTGATTTAATGACACTGTTAAATATATTTTTATGTAAAGGAATGCATTTTTCAAAACTGAAAGTTATATGTTGTTATGATTGATTTTAGTTAGTAGTATTTTATTTTTAATTTATTAGACAAAGTTGTATAGAATTCCAGCCAATTAATCAGTTATTGGCATTAACATGAAAATAATGATCTCATCAGTAGTAATTATTTTAATACCAATGCATCACTAAATTCGTCCACAATGCCTGAGATGAGACATGTCAGCACTTAACGAAACATATAGACGTTGTGCAGGGAATTATGGTTACTGTACAAAAGCATCTCTGGTGAGTTTTTAGATGTGATTTGTCACAAACTAACATTGTGAAGAATAAAATGTTGAAAAGGAACATGTGATGAGAAAAGATGAAATGATGAGATGAACTGGACCGCACTGAGCCATGGCAACCAGATTTTTTACAAGGACTGCTTTACTCCTGTAGTGTTTCGGTGATAAACTATTGGATAGCTTTAGTTTTCTTCTGTATTATACATAAGTCAGTAATTTCTCTCTTTTCAGTGCAGAGAGAAGCTTCGTGTCATCTGGCCCAGCTGGACAGTGCAACCGCAGATCTCCCTGTGAGTCAAAAGTACCCTCTGTCTGCTTTACATTACAGTGAGTTACCATATTGTAGTTGGACGTAATGGATTTCTCTATTTCAGGTCTCTATGGCAACAGTCCTGCATGTCACTTCCTGTCAGGATGAGTTTCGTCAGCAACAAACAGCCATGTTGTGGAGAGCGGCGGGTGCAACAGCAGCGCAGGTTTTACCCACAGACACATTTGCCCATCAGCTGTTTCAGCATGCTTTACATATTAAACAATTGCTTTCTGTTTTGTATTTGCTATTTCCTGTAACAGGAACTTTTGGTTGAACCTATCAAAGGACTCATTCTTTTATTTATTTATTTTGTCCTAAAGTAGCCAATAGGTTTTAGTTATATCACAGCTATTAACCATGCTATGAACCACAGCTATGAACCATGATTTGGTACATCCTAATTAGTAGCATCTGGAAATGGGCAAGGGTCACGCTAATTTAGAGAGCACTTAATTGGATCTGATCAATATTTATTTTCCACTTCCTGGAAGAGCAAGTTTGTAAAACTGTATGTGTAAAAGTGTATATAACTGTTTTAGGTTTAAAGTAGCATATTGATGGCAAAAAATCTAAAAGACATTAAAGGAAACCCATAATAAGTCATAATAAGTTGTAAAAAGTCTTTACAGCAATATCAAGCGATTGTAATACTCCCAAATGAAAGAATACACAATTTTCAGCTCAGATGGTGCACATTTGGACATGACTACATTTTAGACAATCTCTGCTGGAAAATGAACGCATGAATAAATAAATGAATAATTGCTTTCTTCCTCTGTATTAGAGATTGGTGATTTGTGGTCCTGTTAAAACTCTTGGCATTCAGATGAATGCAGCTCAGTATCTTCAGTAAGGCAAAACTTTAGAACAGCAACTCTCTGTCAACTCTATTTAACGCTTTATCAACTCTATAAATCATTCTTACAAAACTTCAGTCTATAAGTCTGATGACTACAGTGGTACATGTTTGGCTGTGTATTTCTGTAGGTTAAGAAAAGCTCAGATGAAAGAGGCCTCAGAAATGAAGTATGGAGACCAAGTTGAAGGTGTGTTTATCTGTGCAGTCTGGAAAAGTTAATTTTACAGCCATATTGTGATGCATGTTAATGCCAGATGCAAACTCTCCTTAAACTCTTTTAGGTCAGACATGGGATGACATCATTAGAGTCATGACCTCGGCTACCGTGAGGTTTGAACTGCTGTCCACAGTGCACACAAGTCCGGTGAGTGTATTTGCATGTGTGTTTGTGTGTGGAATATATTTTCCTGCATCAGAGATGATTGACAGCTCTCTTTCAGGTGACCTTAGACGTTCAGCGGGACAGTGGTGTGTCCACAAAGGGCCCCAGGGGTGGAGTCTTTGTCATGTATAACTGTGCTCGTCTTCACACACTTTTCAGCAGCTACGAGAAAGGGGTGGAGCAAGGTAACACACATACACACACACTGTAGTGTTCTTAACTTATGAATCATGTTCTAAGCAGTATTATCAAGACAGTAGTCATGGAGAAGCTGTTTTTTAAAGCGCATGCAGTATGACTACACCCACATTTTGATGTTGTATATATGTTTAAAATTTTACTTTATTAGACAAATGCTATGTTTTTTACTGCTAGTTACTATTCTAACCTTAGGTAATAGAAAAGCAGTGAAAGAGATTGTCTGTGCTCTGTGACAATGTAAAAATGCACAGAAAAAATACAAAAGTGAAAGTGACGTGACATGACATGTGGCCAAGTATGGTTACCCATACTAGGAATTAGTGCTCTGCGTTTAACCCATCCTAAGTGCACACACACACCATGAACACACACCCGGAGCAGTGGGCAGCCATTTATGCTGCGGTGCCCGGAGAGCAGTTGGGGGTTTGGTGCCTTGCTCAAGGACACCTCGGTCGTGATATTGAAGGTACCACTCCCTCCACCTACAATTCCTGCCGGACTTGAGACTCGAACTCGCAACCTTTGGGTTACGAGTCCGACTCTAACATTAGGCCACGACTTGCCAGATGTAGAATTTAAGTCTGTGCAACAGAGGTGTGGTATTCCCATCTTTCTCCATTGGGCCTGTAACAGTAGTAATGTAACAGGGAAAATATTGTGTCCATTTGTGAAATAATATCCATGTCTATTTTGAATTATGTAGGTCATTATCCTGAAATCCCTGAAGGCGCAGAGCTGGACTTTTCTGCCCTAAAAGAGGAGGTAAAGCAATATGTAACTAACATGCCTTAATGATCCTATTTTTGCTAAAAGTCTTATTTGTTGCGTCCTTATTCAAGTATTCTTCAGTTGCTATGAATAAAAACATATGCCAAATGTATTCAAACAAGCTCTGTTTTGTGTTTAGTGGTATAGAAAGTTTGTTTTAAATTGTTATATTTCATTGTCTTTAGGGAGAGTGGCTTCTTCTCTTCAATTACCTCATTCCATTCTCTGAGCTGCTGGACCAATCAGGACAGATCCTATGGCATGAAGGGGGTTCAGCCAGAGTTAATTTAAGGACTGAACAGGTACTTTAAAAAAATAAGGGGAAAAAAATGTTTTGTTTTGTCAGATGGATTTTGTAATGTGGTTTTGATTTTAAGGCAAATCTCTTCTTCTATCTGCTGTCTTGGCTTCATTAATACAGCCATCCATTACTGAAATGTCTTGTCAGGTGTGCAGATTCTTGGTGTCTCTCAGTAAAGATTTTAGCTCCTACTACAACAGAGTCCACGTCCTTGGGGTAAGACATTATGCATCTGTGTGGTTGTTCATGAATCAGTGATTTAATGTGTATTTTGCATATTTGTGTGTATCAGCATTAACAGTAATTTATGTAATTAAACAAGTTCAGGGCCATTAACTTTCTGATCCTTCTCTTTCTTTCTTTCTTTCTTTTTCTTTCTCTCTCTCTCTCTCTTTCTTTAGGAGCCCCTGCCTCATCTTTTTAATCAGATGTTTTGTCGTTTATTGTTGCTGAGAGCATTAAGAGAACTTTACCACAGCGCCCTGGACTCCCTTAATCTTCCCCCAATTCCCCAACTATAGCATCTCCTCTGCAGACATTATACACCAACAGCCACAAACTCTCTCCCTTAACAGCCAGCACTCTTCCATTTTTCTCAGCTATTACACTTTAGATACGTTCCTCATAGCCATAATTGCCTGACCATCTAGTCAGAATAGTCCAATAGTCCTCTTGCTCTTTAAAATCAACAGTTTTACCACTGAAATGCACTACAGGATGCAGGATGGACCCCACTAAATCTGTCACTATTCAACCCTTTCATCCAATAAATTCTATTTAGTCTGAGAATTCGCCCCTACCAATGTCAAAAGAAGTTGCTTTCTTTCACAGTGAATTTAAATTCTCCTGCACCATAACCATAGATTCTGACCTCCTGCATGAATATGTATTCTGTGTAATAATGTTTAATTGGTGTAAGTGCCTATTTGTTCAACTCTGAACACATATTGACAGTGTAGCACATTTGTTCTCACAGTCTGATAGATGCACATGCAATAAAGTGTCTGTCACCAATGTTTCTTATTAAGAATCATGTCAGCGTGGTTGGCGATCATATGGCATTCTTGAAATGTCATGATCTGGGATACTACTTCCTTTAATAAAAATATAGTCTTATCTGTACCAAATATAAAGTCTTAATTCTCGAGTTTTCCCCAGTGTCCCTCACTGTTTATGCCACTCAAAGTGTACAGGTGTACTACTGAGATTCCTCGTGTGCCATATGGTTGAGATGCGTTGGTACTCTCACTTTTCACAGATCTGTGCCATACGCCACACAGTATTCAAAGCCCTGAGAGTACTAAACATGTTTATTGTGACTGTGTAACATTCTCACAATTCAAAGTTTTTGATAGTGGTGATTTCACTCAATGTATTTAAAAAACAGCAACCCGCAGAGACTTCATAATTAAAAGTGTCTGCTTCAACCTCTGGACTGGTTGTTTTTCAAGTGTGCAAATGTTTGACTATCTATCCGTACACAAGTCTTATGTATTTTAGCGAGACTTAACAGTTAAGGTTATTAGTTAATGCAGTAGGTAACCAACAATTTTTTTTTTACGTCATTTGTTAATCTAGTTTGTTTATTTATTCATATTTGTTCATAGTACATCAACTAATGTTAATTTATACAATGTTTTTGTATATTATAGATTTGGGTTAGATATAAACATTAACCTAGATTAATAAATGCTGTAATAGTATTAGCAATTCCATTAATTGTTATTAATGTATAGGATATTGTAAAGTTTTGACCCTTAAGTCATTCAAAAAAAAAACTTATGTTAACAGATTTGACCCATGAAACTGATTTTAAGGCACTTCTTTTTTTTTTTTTTACTTGACAGAATCCTGAAAAAACTGGATAACACTTTCCACAAAAATATTAGGCAGCACAGCTGTTTTCAAATGTGATAATAAATGTTTCTTGACAATCACCAAATCAGCATATTAGAATAAGGAAATCATATGACACTTCATTCAGCTTTGTAATCACCAGAATAAATTACATTTTAAAATGTTAAATAGTTTTTTTCATTGTAAAAATATATCACAATATTACTGTTTTTACTGTATTCTTGATTAAATAAGACTTATTTAAAAAACAATAATAAAAAAAAACTTACTGTCCCCAAACCTTTTGAATGGCAGTGTATAAAAAATACAGGGGCATTTATTCCTCCATATTTAAATGTCTTGGGCTTTTTGACAATCCCAGTTAATATTTGGTTAATTTCTGAGACTGCATCCAAACTCAGTGCATTGTGTGGTTTAAATATGACTTCAATTTGAGATGGAGCCAGAATTATGACCCAGACAGGCATGACTAAACATCTCATAATAGTTATTATGAGTGGGCTGACAGCAACTCGTCTTTTTAATGAAGTGTATGTTAAATATGCAGCTCAAGTTTGTAGTGTAGAGCTCATCTGCAGAACTGAGTATTAATAGCGGCCACATTGCTAGAAAATGGCTCCAGTTGTCAGCGCTGTGAGTGTGATTATTGTTGGTGTAAACTCTAGAATACTGCCAGGCCAGCTAATCTGTCCAGTAGTAACCACAGATGTCTGCATACTACGAATGCACATGTAGATATGGACGTTAGAATGTTAAGAAAGTGTAATAGCATCGTTCAGCCACTGGAGAGCAATCATGACTATCTTTCTGCTAAATCTCGTTCGCTCTTTCTCTGGATAGGCTGTCAGTCATCACTGCCGGGCATCTCTACCTTGAAGACAAAAGAGGGAGGAGAGATGAAAGGAGGCAGAGAGGGAGAGAAAAAGGGAGACTAGTGCGTGAAAGGAGTTCAAAGGATGAAGGAGTACGCTGTGTAATCGCTACAAGCAAAACTGCTGTCTTTTCAAGAGGTGTGTGAGAGAGCGAGATGAATGAATGAGGTCAGAGGTGCCCACGGGAATTGAATGATTATTTTGTAGTTGGCAGGGATAGGAGGAGAGAGGGAGAAAAGATGGGTGGAGATGATAGAGGAGGAGAGGAGAGTGATATTGATGTAGTTCTTGTTGACTGGTGGAACCCTAGACAGGAAATAACAGTATGAGGTGGGTGTGGAGTGTTGTGTTGGGAAATGACACATGGAGATAGATTGTTACTATCTGCAAGTGTCCCTCTAACAGGGATCATTTTCTTTTGCTGTTTTAGCTAGAAAGGTCTGCTATCAAGCATATTCAGGGTACAAAATTAACACTCACCAAGCACCATTTATAAGTATAAATTGGCTTTGTCCAGAAAATAAAAGGGGGTATTTTGCCAGCTGGCTGATAATTGTATTAGGAGGTGCTAATCCACTTTAATCCCTGTTCATTTTCAGTCTGAGCACAACTAACAGGCTTCCAGGAAATCTGAATTCGGTTCAAACATTCTACTCGCACTCGAACAGGATTAGTTGTGATGCATATCAGGGTTGAGTCGACTCATGCCCTTGAGCTGTTGACTGAAGTGTGTTCAAAACATGGTTTATGTCCAATTCTAAGTATTATACTCTGAAGCTCACTGATAGGAATGAGTCAAATCAGAGACTCGCATCTTAGAATTACTTTTACCTCTGAGGAAAATTTATTAACTTTTTTTTCTTCAAAGGCTGAATTTGTTTGATCATTATTATTATTATTCAATTTTAATATAACTGTTTTCCTAAAACATAATTTATTCATGTGATGGTGAAGCTAAATTTTCAGCAGCCATTTCTCTTCAGTCTTCATTGTCACATGATCATTCAGAAATCATTGTAATATGCTGATTTGGTGCTCAAGAAACATACTGTTAATATATAATAATATTGGCAAGTATTGCATATTTTTTACTCTTAGTATACACCTTATATTATTGCCTTAGCACACAATGCAATCTAAAGGTGATAAATTAGATCACCATTTTCACACTTAATTTTTTTATATCTCTTGTTTAATCCCATCACATATCAGCCGAGACTGCAGTGTTGCCAGAACAGTCTGTCTCACCTCAGAATCGAATTAAAACAAAACTGGAGTCTGTCAAGCTTCTAGTGGTTCCAAGTGAAGTCCTCTCTCTCTCTCTCTCTCTCTGTGTGTGTGTATGTGTGTGTGTTTCCCAACAACATACTGGGAAAAAATCTTTCTCAAAGCCTTTGGGTTCCCTCTATCAAACTGAAGCTTAGAGATTGTGGCACCGTATTTGATGTAGATCTCAGCTGAAACTTTTGATAGTTTGACAAATTTAGACTAGAGATGAAATAATTTTTGATGGGTTGAGATCTTTGAGACTGCATAAATCTGTCATTTAAAACTGTGTCAGAACAACCTCATGTGATCTTTCTTTAACCATCAAAAGGTGGGGGGGGGGGGGTTCCTTTTTTTTGTTCTTTTTTTTTAAATAGTAGTAGGCTGTTTATGGAAAAATTGCCTGCTTTATGAATCTGTGTCATACTTTGAATGTGTTACTTTGGCATAGTATTACAAACAGAGAGCAAGTTCTGCCGAGGAAACAGAAGTACAGATGATAGCACAGTCAGTAGTGTATTTTAAACCCATCCAGGCTTGTGTATGTGTGCGTTAACAGATAAGAACCTAGTGCAACAGCTTCCTCTTTTCTTTCTGTTTCTCTCTAGCTTTTTCTGTACCTCTGCTGATAAAAAAAGTGGTTTGAATTACCTACTAACCATTTCCTGACTTTTAGTTAGATATGTCACGTTCTTCCTTCAGAGAGGGCAATCTCCCTGGTCTTCTGAAGATAACAAGTCTTAAAATGTGAATGTTTAACTTGTCCCCCCCCCCCCCAAAAAAAATATGTTAAAGAGATTGCCAGTTATGTGAAAAATAATAAGCAACAGGTGTTCTTCTGACCACCATGATATGCTTGTTGATGGTAATTTGTTTGTGTGAGGCCTGGGGAATTCATGGTTCATTGTCACAGAGGAAAATTGTAAAAATATGTTGTTATTTCTTTCATGCTAAGTTGAAAAGTCTGGGGTCTTTAAAAGTTTAGATTTTTTTTTATAAATATTATATATTGAAAGAAGTCTCTTATGCCCACCAAGGTGCCATTTATTTGATAAAAAGTTAAAACCATAATATTGTGTTATTTTATAACACGCCCCATTGTAATATCATGCAATAATGCAATCTCTCTCTCTCTCTCTCTCTCTGTGTCTCATCTAGGCATGGGTCTGTCAAGTTCAGATCCAGTAGCTGGGTGAGAAACTAGCTGGATTGCTGTTTAAGCAGATCTAAATCCTGAGTAAGAAAGCTAGATACCTCTCTCATCTGATGCTAATCCAATTTAATCCCAGTTCACTTTCACTCCAAGCACAACTAGAGCGGCTTCCAGTCGATCTGAATTCAGTCCAAACATTATATTCACACTCAAACAGCATTAGTTCTGATTCATATCGGGGAAGACTCAAGATGAGCTAAGCTGCCTATAACTGAGGCGTGTTTAAAACTTGGCTGTTCTATAAAGGCATTTATATCCCATGCTGGAACAAATTAACATGCTCCTCCTCTTTAGATATAATAGGATCCAGTAAGATTTGTTCTCATTAATATAATATGACATAATCTTTAGGGTCCTATTAAAGGCACATAGCCAGTTCTTTTTCATTAAATTACACCCTTTTTAAGAGCTGGCATAAGAAGCTCTATTTCAGTTTTCAGAAGTTTTAATATATGCATATTCTTATTGATGGTTTTATGTATTATTGATAGTAATATCTAAATATTGAATGATATATTTATGTATAAATAAAAAATGTGTTTTTGACATTTTATTTGATTTAGGTAAAATGCAGATATGTGCTTCTCTTTTATCTGTGTAAATATGTCATGTTTATCATATTTTAATCATCTGTATTTTTTCATTTTAGTTCTCTATGGTAGTTTAGCATTGGAAGTGCAGTTTCATAAATGTATATAGTGTATATATAGAATCTGCTGTGTCTGTGCTTTGTCTTTGAATGCTAGGGGAAGGTGATAAAAGAGCAAAAAAATATTTATAGCTGCATTAAAATAACAATTTTTCTGGCATTTTAAAAAAATGTCACCCCTCTCTGTCTATCTCTCTCTCTTGATTTCCCTCTTTCTTTCACACTATTAACTTGTTCATTCCCCTGCCTTTTTCTCTTTTCCTGCCTCATTCCCTCTATGTTTGTTTTCCCCCTCTCTATTCTCTCTATTTTTTTATTTGCTGATTTGGGTCACTGGCTGACTAAGAGACAACTCACAGCTGGCCTATAAACAGCCTTCCCCCTTTCAGCAGCATTAGCTCTCTCTCTCTCTCTCTCTCTCACACACACACACACACACAAATCCCATAATCCTCTAAAATTGCTAATGACATCACTATGCTCCCGTGCAACACAGCGCGACGAGTTTTTGCACGATATGGCTGGGCTTGCTAAACTTGCTTTGCTTTTATGGATTCTG